CTCTCTCTCTCTCACACACCCCAACTGGCCGAGGCAGACAGCCACCCACCTAGAGCCGGGGTCTTTCCAAGGTTTCTGCCTCTTAAAAGGAATTATTTCCTTGCCGCCGTCGCCAAGTGCTTGCTCATGGTGGGAACAGTTGGGTCTCTGTAAATAATTTTATAGGGAGTACGGTCTAGACCTTGCTCTATTTGAAAAGTGTCCTGGGTGGAAAAAATACTCTACTGTTATGAATTGCACTATACAAATAAGAAATTGAATTGAATTGAATTGAAATTACAATACCTTTATAATTATGCTCTGCACATTGAAGCAGAATACTTGAACAATGAACATCTAGTAACCAACCCACTGAAAACCAGAATCCAGGACTTTGAGAAAGATGTTTGCCATGAAAGATACAAACATGTGGAAGACTACCTTTGGGTTTGTCTGTGTTTTCTTGCAAAAGCATGGGGTTTTCTTTCTCTGTATACACGCATGTGTTTTATGTGTATGTGTGTTGTGCCTAACGAGGTGAGTCAGCGAAAGGATGATGTGTTGCAGGCTGCTGGCAGACTGAGAATTAGCAGGGGTATTTATTCCCATTAGCCCTGGGGAGAAGTGTGAATCAGTTAATCAGATGTCAGACACACACATCACTCTGCTGGGAGAGCTATAATGCTCAATCAGAATGTGAATGGACCAGACAGTCCTGGAAGTCCAACAATCCCCAAGCCTTTGTTTTTTTAAAGCAGATGTCCCTCTGCTAAATTGTCAAATATCACTGGACAGGGTCAGAGAGCAGCTATTTGAGTCACAGGCTAAAAAAAGTGACACAAGTGACATGAATCGCTTCTAATCCACGTTTAAAAAGCAATGATTCACTAATCTGCACTCACTCAGACACCTAGCTAGGGGTGGGAGTCTCATGTGTTTCCTAAACAGGCCAATTTCCTCATGGCAGGGATTCAACGAGGCGGTGGAAACACTCCAGAGGAAATTCAGCCCCAGCTTACTCAAGAGCATCACTCAGCTCCTGCAGTTTTATCAGCGGGATATTCACGCTGAGAATAATTTGAAAAACCTCAACCTCAATAAGGTGCGGTTTTAGGTCTGCAAACTGCGAACGCTGCTGGATTGAAGTCACCAAAACAATCTTGAGATGATGCGTGGTGCCCATCACAACGGGTGGACTGCGGGCCATGAAAGGACGCTTATTGTCCGAAAAGCAAAATGTAACACATTCACAATACCATTAAACTTCCATCACCTGTCTCATCTGTTGATACCTGGAAGGACAGATCTACACTTTCATTGTGTCTAACACCGCAAACAAACGTAAGATTTATTGGAAGTGTCAGTTTTCTCCTTTCTAGTAACCCACTGTGTCTGATAGTGATAGATTTAATCTATATAGCACTTACCCAAAAACAAAGGCTCAGAGTGCTCGTGGATTGGAATAATACACTTGAAAATCATTGCAGAAGCGCTTCTTTTTTTTACACATTTGCTGCCCAGTAATGGTTTAGAGTGGCAGCCTACTATTTTACAGTAAACGAGCTGTCTCTATTTCTGTTTTAATAACACTTAGTTTGTCATTTCACCAACAAAACAGTCTTCAAATAGCCAAAGAACATTAAAACTGACAGATGGAAAGCAGCACACATACAAAATCTATTCATGCAAGAATAAGGGTCAGTATGCATGCCCTCACACACACACACACACACACACACACACAAATACTGATTTGTAATCAAACGGCAACCAGACTAATCAATAACCATTGAGACAGGGTCAAGGGCAGAGTTGCTTGGCAGATAAAATACAGTATGCAAGCATTCACACACACGCACTCACACACACACACACACACACTTTTAAATTGACAAGCTGACAACTCAACAAATTCTGGATAAATACATACTTGTGCAGACATTAATTTCTGGATCAAAACCTTGTAGCCAAAGGCAGAGTCTCCATATTACATTTCCATTTAAAATTTGAATTAAAGTTTCAAATACAACAAACATTGGTTCAATTTCACCGATGAACGAGGCAGATCAAGAAAACAAGTCAAAAACCGAGACCTTGTTTTGTAAAATGTTAAATCAATTTTTTTCTTAAACGGTACATTTTCTGATTCCTTTTATTAAAATGATCATCATCGTATTACATTTCAATTAAGGACAATTCTAACATAATCAATATGTATATATTAGTCCTGTTTTTAGATATGACAATTTAACCAAACTGCCTACATCCATTATCTCATTTTCTTGCTTCCTGACCAGTTGAGCATCACAGTGCACAGCGGCACCTGATGAGCATCCCTCCCAGGAGGTACAAACCACTTCAGGTGGCTCCTGTTGTGTGTGGAGGAGCAGTAACTCAATGCCAGGATCTTCCTGGATCACTGAGTTTCTCACCGACAAGCAGACACAAGCCTCCCCGCAGTGAAACCTCATTTCGGGCACTTCTACCCTCGCTCTTTGTCTTTGTCAGTCACTACCCACAGTTCATGACCACAGGTGGGGGACAGGATGGATATCGACCTGTGAACTTAACAACTTCACTGCTGTTTTACCAAAGTCAGTCAATCTATTTGTTTAAAAATGTGAAAAGCTGAAGAGCTCCCAACTCTGTAGTTTGCCTGTTATTTTAACCGGTCACCAAGCTTTAAATATTCTGCTAATACTTCAACACTGTATATTCTTACTTTTTGATGATGAATTGTTCTTTTTTAACTAAATGCAAATGCACAAAATGTTTGATTTTCAATTATGATGAAATGTCTGTAATTCCATGTGATGACGATTTATAAAATAGATTTTTAATAACAAATATCCTGTTTACAAACTGCCTGCGTACTTAACAGGTGGGTATGATGCCCTTGCAAACCACACACACACACACATGCGCACGCACACACACACACACACACACACACAACCACACACACACACAAATGTACATGGTTAATCCTGGCAGTCAGCTCAGATCATCTCTAGCCCCAAAGGGTTAACCTCTTGATTCATTTTCAATCAGGACCACAGATTATCTGGCCTAACTCTGCTGGAGTGGACTCAATCTTGGGCCAAAGAGTGAAGTAGAGCAGGGATTTCTCTCAGGAGGAATCAATCACTTTGCCAAGCTCCTCAGAGCTAGCCTTGACTTGGATTTAACTGCTGGACTTGTTCCCCTCTTTTTGTCCAATCTCATTCTGGATGTGGCAGTAGGTCAGAAATACACGGACTGAAATCACTGACCTGACTGGAGGAACTTCAGTAGCACGGTCAGTGAGTCAGAGTTTAGGGAATTTCAGGTGGAGAGGCTGTAAATCTTTCCAAATAGTCAAAACAACAGATGTTAAAGGGTCAGCGTCTCTCTACCAAATCTTATTCACGTAATTTCAACAATGCTAGCAGAGCTACATTCAGGTCACTGGGTTTGCGTGTTTGTGTATGCGCAGGCATGTTTGTGTTTGTGGATGTTAAGTCTGATATTGGAGAAGAGCACCGAGACACAGCCACAGGTTTAACCACTGTATGTGCCCTATGGATTAATACACATATCTTAACATTTCTCTCCATTTGCTCGCATCCCACTGCAGATTACTGCAGGGTTGGTATGTTGTTTGCAGCATGATATCACTAAATCATGGATTAGAGAGAAATTTGTCTTGCATTTCAAACAAAACCATTAAGCCGAGTAAAGACTGGAAACGCAAAACTCACTGCGATGGCTTTACACTTTACTGATCTGCAGGCTTCTGATAAAAACAATTTTACTCCACTCAGTGATCTGCATCAAAAGGCAACAAGTCGAAACTTTGAAACAGATTGAACTGTGTGTTTCTGTGTGACAGGGCTGCTTTTATATTAAGTTCACTTTTACCCAAAGGAGTCAGAAAGATTTTAGTTATTTGTTTTCCTGCTCCATTAAATACATGCATTATTTATGAAGTCCAATACCCAGAGACCCTTGTTGAAATGTTAGTGGGATGTTGAGATATGAAACCTGGTGAATCATTTGCCAATTATTCCCCTGTTTATGGAAGAGTGCTCTCCATAACTCCCCCACTAACTGAGAAGTTGCAGTAGACAGGATATAACATGTCAGTAATTTATGAAGCCAGTGAAACTGGCAGACAACACAAGTTATGTTGGCGCTCAAGCATTTGAATGGCCTTACTGAATGGCCTTGATGGCAAGCCCCATCAGTATTCAAGTGCCTTAAGTAACCATTTAAATGCATGGAGCTTATCCTTCATGAAGATGCTCAAATATACTGTACATCACAATGATTCAACTTAGTTTCAGTCTCTTTTTCTGCTTCAGATGTTTCAGTGACAATTAAATTTTATGTGACTCCTAAACTCTTGTCCTCGGCAAACTCAGCAACATAGCTGAGTAATTATGCTTTCTGGGAATTACATTTTAAACTAAACCAAACTAAATTTTGCAGGGCCGACATATGATGTTGGCATAGCAATATGAATATGATTCAGTATAATATTAGTTTATCCTTTACCAAAACACCAGATACAGTATATGGCAATGACATCTGTTGCTTACAGACTAGCTAAATAGCTATCCAGCATCACCACTACGTATGCAAAGCAACCAGCAGAATGAATTTAAAGTGATTCATACCTCCATAGAATAATAAACAAATGTTAACAACGTTTAATATGGCAACGAATCCGAACTGTAGACACAAGAGTTGAGACTTCAGTCCCAAAAATGAGAACCAGAGACTCAGCTTCAGTTGACTACTGTGAGACTTGACTCACGTGTAACTTGTAAGATGTAATATGATATGAATATTTAATGTTTCTACGTTGAAATGACTTGGTGTCAGTTATGTGACAAACACTAAACACAACTTGTTTCAATGCCATGTTTAAGTGTTAAAAACATCTTGACTTGATTACTCAAGAAGACTTGTGACTTCGCTTGGTATGCTAAGGGACTTTGTGTTGACATAACTCAAATGACTAAACACAAACACTTGAGCTATTAGAGGCCAGTGTAAAATTTAACACTACAGGATATGTCCGTATATAAACTGTGCACCACAGAAAATTAGTTTCAATTCCTAAAGAGTAATGAACAAGTACTAGAAACATAAATATTTTATACACTGCATGTCTACAAAGATCCAAAGGATTTTGTAATGTGTAATGTTCCCCATAGTTAGATGAGAAGACTGATGACACTTTCCTGTCTGTAAATATGAAGTTACACAGCCAGCAGCCAGTTGTCTTAGCTTAGCATGAACTAGAAATACTGGAAAGAGAGAAAAACAGCTGGCCTGGCTCTCTCTGGAGTCAACAAATCCACCTATCAGCAACTCCAAAGCTCACTAATTAACGCATTATATCTCGTTACTTTAATCAATACAAAAAATAGTTTTATGGTTTTATGGATTATGTGCCAGACTATTATGTGCCGGTCTTGTAAATTGTCATCCCCATGAGGTTCAGCAAAGACTTCTAAAAGTCACTGCTCAAGGCCAAGAAACAGTCCAGCCCTGAAAACCCCAACAACTTATCTAACTCAGCAAGAAAGCGAATAAGCATATGCCCCAAAACGTCAAAACATTTGTTTAAGAGCTTATAAAGCAAAAAAGAAGAAGCTGTCTCACCTGAGAGTAAAATTTTCCAGGGTAGATGTGCTAGCCAGGAAGACATAGAATGTTGCAACATCTGTGGTCTTCAGGGGCTTTGAAGAGGTCTGAATCACCACAGCGCCTCCCAGCCTCAGTCGAAGAAAGGTGGGGTTCCCCGGTGGAGTTCGGAGCAGATTCACACTCCCTACCCGCCTCATCGGTGTCCCCGATCCCGCAGCATCCCTTCCTCTTCCCACTCCTACACGTTGCAGGCTATCCTGCGGGGTACATTGACCTGTCTGATCCCTCCGACTCTGGAAGTAGACCTCCACAAGGTTCCCCTGGAGCCCCTTAATTCCTTCGGTTCTTCCTGCTTCCCTGCTAGAGCTGCCCGATCGACTGGCAGAGCTGAACCAGGCGGGTTCTGGCTTCAGCTGTGCCACACAGAATCCACCTGGAGACACCAGGCATGCCCCACGAACTTCCCTCATCTCCCAGAAGGCGTAGGCCGTCACACAGTGAGCTCCATCCTTTACCTTGGTTCCAGCACTTTTCCTCCCATTATCTTCTCTAGACCCCATCCTTGCTTGCCCAACAGTGACGTCACTGTCTGTGGGCATGTGGAAGAGGATCTTGACAATAGGGGATGAGGAACGAACCTGACGGACCAAAATGACTGGTAGGATCGTGGGGCCACTGAGGAGCTGGTCTGGAGGTATTGGGGCATCTACAGTCAGGGGGCCGTATGAAGCATTGACAGCTGGTTGGAGGAGCCCAGCGCCTGGACCAGTGATGAGAAAAGTCTGAGTCTGAGCCTTCAGGCGGGTGTTCCCTGATGGCTCTGGACTGTCCTGCCTCAGAAACACGTGATCCACATTGAGGACTTGAAAGTTGACGGTGGGATAAACTGGAGATGGGGTGGAAGATGTCCCAATGTCTTTAGCAACCTGACTTTCAGCAACTGAGAGGGGAGAATTTACAAAGAGAGATTAGTGCAATAACTACTCTATCGCTGCTTAAACTCAACATTTCAATGTTTCAACAGTTTCCACTTACAAAATCAGCCAGTTACTTTAATTGAGAACATTTGATGAGCATGGCAGGAAGGTAAAATGTTGAGAAAGGGATCACAACTGGAGGAACAAAGCAAGAGGTCGAGGACGGGGGGTGAGTTGGGTGCTACAGGGAAAAATTAGTTGGTCATCTCAAGGAACCAAGGGCGGTGTGACTTCCCCATGTAGTTCCTGCACTGCAAAAGAGGACAGGAAAGGAAAACACCCAAGGTGTTTGTGGTGGAGAGTTGTAAGAATTGAGACAAACAGGAGAGAGAGGAGTTAGGCACATAAATAGGCTGAAACAGTTCAAGGTTTGGCCTTTGATAGTAAGTAGTTAATTACTGCAACATTAAGATCATTAACTTTTAGAACCATGATAACTGCTGTGTAACAAAGAACATGAAGTGATTTTTTAACAGTTTTATGCCGAGCACATTTTCACTTTTATGTGCATATTTGGACTGGGAAAAGACCATACAGTGTCCTTTCTATTTCATACCATGTAACCACTGGATTTACCATGTCACCCATGGTAAATCCACAGGTTGCTGGTTAAATGTTGAGCCAAAAGAAACTTGCTAAATGGCTCTATGTCTGGAAGCGAAAACACATTATATTTGTAATTGAAGTTGTCAATTCCAGCACTAAAACACAGTAATATTAAGTGTATAACTCTTGTGTGGTAGGTCTCTTGTCCTTCAAGAGAAATTACATTTTTCCACTATCCACTTACTACTTCGAAACGATGCAACAAAGGGAATGGCAAATGTCTGAGTGGTAAAAAGCCTCCCTTGTAACTTCCGAGAGATGACTGTTTGTCCCAACAGGATGCTGTATGACAGCTCCCACTTCCTCCTGCCAAAGACACTTGGTAATTTGCCATCCTCCGTGGTGAAGTGTTCCAGAATGAGTGTGTGAATTTGACTTTGCCTACCACACAAAAATAACTTATCTAAAGGCAAACACAAGGCAAAGCAGAACCTCCTTTTCCCCATAGGTCTTTGAAGTGATATATCATTCTTTTCTGATCAAACCATATTTCATGAATACATCTATATGTAAATCAATTTTCATTCGGGCAAGGCAAAGGGAAATCCAAGAAAAAAATACAGATGTCAGGGTTGATATTAAAAATGTAGTATTCCTGAAAGCACACAAGAAACTGTCTTACAGATTCCAGAGATCAGACTGATGGTATAGGGAATTTCATATTAAAGACCAAAATAAATATTGGTAGGTACATATCATTTTTGCATGGTAGCTGCAGAACTAAGGCAAACCAAAGTGAAATGAAACATAATGCAAAGGTGATACCGTTGGACACCAGTGTTTTATTTCATATTTCCTGCTGTAAATCTGTCTACCTGCTGCTATCAGAACAAACACTGAATTTAATTTGTTTAAATAAATTGCCGTTTTATGGTACCCTTATCATCTCCACCAAAGAGACTGTGTTATTGCTGTAGTTACTGAAGTTTGTCTATAAATAGGACTTTTAAAAGCCATTAATATATTTCTATTACATCCATTGGGCCAGATATCCAACTAATTAGATAATTAGTTTAGTGATTATCAAGATTTGAGATTTCTGGCTTTTAACTATAAATAGGAATTAATAATTAAAACATCATAATTAAACGGCCTGATTCAGCAAGTTTTATGCAGTAGGATGAAGAAATTCATTTTAATAAAAAGTTTCATAAATGCTGACTTTGGGTTTAAACTGGAGAATTATTCTCTGGCAGATGTTTCTGCTCTGTTTCTTTACCATCAGTATTCTCCGAGTCCAACAACCATGAGAGAGATGTCTGAATGCTTTTCTTATCTAAAAAAAGGATATTTGTTGAGTTTATGTAATAAGGTTGTAAATAAATCTACATATACACATATACATCCTCATACTGACTGGGTCCGATCGCAGATGTATACTGCAGGTCAAAGCAATTAATGGAATGAAGAAAACACAAAGAGGAGAATAATCCTCAGTCTGGTTCAAAACAAGTCTGCAACATAATCATAATCTTACTGGACAAGAACATAGTTCACACGGTGATGATGATTATAGGTAATACTCACATACTCATGTGTTGCTATTGATCATTATGATTATGACTTGTGATAGTAGAAGAAAATCGAACTATTTGAAACATTTAACTATTAGAATTGTTAATTTAACCTCAGATGGGCTTGCTGACACAACAGCCAGCACATCTGTGACTGGACTGAAAGATAAGGCTGCCATGCATATTCATGGGTACCAAGCAGAGAAGATATCAAAGGCTGAACTCTATCACTTAGACACGCATCAAGAACAGCTGCACTGCTGAGTCCTGCACTAGCAGAAATACGGCCATCCTGCATATGAATGATGAAAAATGCACACGCAGATATCATGTGCAGATATAAACCCAGTCAATCTCAGAAAGTAGTCTTTCACATGATATCAATATCACAGAGAGGCAGACGGCTTACTGTGACTTCATAGCTCCCAATGCAGGTTATCTTTAAACAACCAGAGAAACAGCTGTGCAACCTCAGCTTCAGGCCTCTTTAATCCCACAGATGAGGCTTCCTGATGCACACTGGAGAGCGTGCCGTCTCTTTCATTTAGACAGAGGGACAATGTGATGGGCAGGGGGCATGGACAGTAACCATAAAACCCTCAAAAATGGGAAAAACACAACCAACAGTTCGAACAGCCAGTCGCATAAACACATCATGCATCAACATGGTTTTATAAAGCCAATGTGAACATTTTCTAACCTGTTTTTAAATATCTTAAATGCTCTCTTCTCAAACACCTCCTCCTAATGCATACAGTCACTGCATAGTCTTTTAGTGGGCCTACTTAAAGTTTGAGTTAATAACAAACTAAAGGCAGCAGCAGCATACTGTCCCCTCTTGTGCATATGCCAGAATCATAACTTAGGATGGGGGGGCAATAAAGCAAATCCTGTATATCCAATTTGTGTGTGTGTGTGTGTTTAAATCATCAAGGCATATATAAGAGCAGAATATACTACTAAGTTCCTCTTGTAAACACAGCTGAAGGCTTTACACTACTTCCAACTGTCCCATATGATGTGAGGGTGTCCCTTGTGTCTGCTCCAGCACACATGAAGAAAGTCAGACCAATGAATAAAGACATTAAGAAGAAAGAAAGAAATTAAACTCCAAAGTCTCACCTTTAACAGCTGCAAGGACAGCCACTGCGACAACTTGGAGCAATGAGCGGTGGGAAAAGTTGAGCATCATTTCAGCAAAGTTGCAGCCGGTTCTGGCCACCCAGAGCCGGGGGAAGCTGTATGTGTGACTGTGTGCAGTCGGTTGAAAGAAAGCGCTGGAAACAAATCATTCCATTGTCTGATGTCCGGTAAAGTTAACTTCCTCTGAATTGCAGAGGAACAAGTGGGGTAGAAAAAAAAATGTGGGTTTACTTCCTTATGCGCGTAAAAAATCTCCGTTTAAAACGGTGTCTCCTTCTTTGGGTTCTCTGAAAGGATGAGAGGGATGATGTTCTCCTCCGGTGGCACGGCTCTGGCTTGGCACGGCTATTCCCGTCATGATAGAAATCAGTAAACATGCAGCCTGTCAGATTAACGAGACCCACGTGGGTAATCGCCGGTAGGGGAAGAGCTGCGAGAAAATTAAATGCACATGAGGTCAAGGGGATCAGTGGTTTCTCCACGACTCATTTTAATGTTGATTTAACAAATTAAGGATATGATTCCGAGCTCAAGGGCGAATTTATATGCAGGGACAAATGATGATGGTGATGATGATGATTATTTTCTTTGTATAGATAAGAAAAATAAAATAGTTTACCTTTACCAAAAGCATCATTTTCCTCTATTCATCTGATTTGTTTTTTAAAGGTTTGTTAGTATTTAGAGTTTAGAGAATTCTAAGAAATTCACAGATGTTCATATCACATTCAGGAGGCCTTTGTATTAATCTGGACATTACTCAACTTTCTGTGGGGGGGAGAGAAACAAGTTTAGAGCAGGTTTTGCCAGCTGTCAGCTGCATATTCTCAGTCCTCAGCATGGGATCATGGCGCAGGATGGAGCAGATGGATGAAGGCACAATATCTAAAGCTTTGTGGTGTCACAGCACACTATACGTTTGGCAACATGGTGCAAAGGATAAGCAAACACTACAAACTCTACTTTAGTCTTGTGTGAGTCCTTACTACATAATTGTTCATTGACAATTTGAGATGTGTCCTCAATATTAAAATATTTCAGGTGCAAAGAGTCAAATAAAAAAAAAGCACAAATGTGTGTGTTTTTTCTGTGCTACAGCAGGCCTTCAGGCCACATTTAATTTCTTAACACTCTGGATAATTATGTTTTTTTTCTCTTTTTATGTGTATCACTTCATCTGCCTTGACCTAAAATTCCATATACTCATTATAATGAGGTACACTGAGCTTCAGTGTGAGTTCAAAGCCTGAACTGAAATAGCGTGGTGTCTTGTTGCAGTGTGCCCTACTACCAGGGAGACGATTATATGAGCAGTTGTGTGTCTAAGAGCGAGCCGAGGGGGTTATGCAGTTTAAGCACTGTGGCATCCATCCACTCTGCTTTTGCACAAAGACATCACACTAAGTGCTGACATCAGATTTATGTTAAAGAACACCTAGTGGGTTTAATGAGCTTGGTCAGACTACTCTTCACTCCTCTACTCTCCGACACCTCTCTAAATACCTATTCTCTGAAGTAAATGTGCTTTGGTGGCACAATATGTCTTCCAACTGAGCCCACTGTGCCCGGTGCCTCAGTGTCTGTTTTATTGCAAGGTGGCACCAGTGCCAAGGTGACAGCATTATGCATGCAGGCATCATTGGCGAATAAAAAATTTTTCTCCTGACAGCAGAGGCTGATTAAAATAAATATGTGCCTTAGAGAGACATTTTGGGATCTCTAAATGCCAGTAAAACTTTGAAGAACTAATGGAGTCTGTATTATCTCAGGAGAGGAATTTGATTTTACTGTACACATTGCTGTAGTGTCTACAGTGCAGGGTTAGTTAATGCATTGCATTTTGAAGCCGCTGAGGTTTAATTTGAGCAGTTCGTCTGTGTTTTTGGCTGGATGTGGTTATTAATGCTTACAGTGGCAGAGGCCACTGACTATTGAGTCTGGGAACGTCTCCAGATCTCAGTTGTTGTTCCAGACATGCAACCTGCTGCTGGTGCTATTAGAGATGACGGAGAGGTGGTCTGATGCACCATGTATAACTCCAGCGCTGCATGTACAGCTGCTGCCAGGTGGCTCAAAGGTTTTTGGAGGTCATTTGATGTGGAGCAACATGGGTCAAGACCTAAATCCCTAAAGAAATGTTGATTTATTTCAATAGGAAGCTGCGCATTGAGATGTTGAAAGAGATAAATCGCAGGAGAAATTACTGCAGTGACTCCTGGTCAGAGCCAAAGCTTAGTCAGGAATTCAGAAAATAGACCATTGACTCTTTTTGGCAAGACTAGGCGTGACTCTAGGGATGGCAATGTCAGTCTGTCAGTCGGGCAGTTGATTGGTCCGCCACTGAAATATCAACAACAACAACTATTGGATGGATTGTCCTGAAATCTGGTGCAGATGTTCATGTTGCTCTCCGGATGAATTGTAATCACTTTGGTGATCCCTTTACTTTTCATCTAGCGCCATCATCAGGTTAAAATGTAAATTTGTCTGATATTTTGGTTCATGACCTGATAAACAAATCTGTATTACACATTCCCATCATCCTCAGCTGTACTTATTAGCTCATTTCAAAATGGCGAATATTGTAAAACCTGCTAAATGGTTGCATGCTGGCCATTGACAGTATATGCTGACATCAGCATTTAGCTCAAAGCACAACTGTGCCTAAGCACAGCCTGTGTGCATGACTGCTGCTGAACTAAGCCAATCTATTACAAATTGAAAATATAACATGGGTTTGTATCCAGAGCCTGTGATGTATCATGGCTGCATAAAAGAAATTGTATGTTTAGAAGATATGCCAACCCACTACTCTCTTTGTCTCTCAAAACTAAATTACACCTTCTATTTACTTATGTGTTCATTCTGTTTTTGGAAGTCGAAATTACAAAGTTATTACACATAAAATGAAAAGTCCTAATAAGAAATATGTGGAAAACAATTCACAACATAGTGCTGTTCAGAGGGAAATATCTTTCAAACAACAAATGTACAATAAAAATAACCGACAGACAAAGAAAATGCAGGACAGGTTGTATTAAAGTACAGAGCCAGACGAACTATGACCTGCCTCAGTGCACTCTGGGGTCATTGTATGATTAGTACATCTATTAACCTTTACTGACAGTAATCCAGCTCAATGATGGATATTGAACCACAGCAATGCTCCATCTTAATAATCCTGTTGTCTTAACTTTCATCAAATTATCATTAAATCAGCTCTGTTTCATCCCGTTGGTGCTGTGTCCAATTGGCAGGGGAGCACACAAAAAGAATAACAACAGAAAAAGTGGTTCCAGCATACATAAGACAATTGGATGCATTTTAAAGCCCTCTGAGTGAAAATCATTGCAAACTGCTTTTGTATTCTCTATTCTAATCTCTAGGGAGTGCTGGAGTCCAGTGTGAACATAAAGCTGCCGTTACACCTGTGTAATAACACTTAGCACTACAGCCTGCCAGGGGGCAGTAAGCCAGCGGCAGCCAAGCAGCCAGTCTTTTCAACGCCCATGGTGTTAGAGCTCTGAGGGCTCTCCAGCCAAGTCGTGCCCTGTGGACATCTCCCACTCAAAGCATGTCTTAGCCGAAGATGAATCACACAAGGCCCATGCCCTGGCTGCTTCCCACTGCTGACGTCAGCCAACATTCTTCCGCTGATGACAAATTAATGCTCCTCTCAGAGCATGGCTGCCATAAACATCAGTTTTCCACTCCTGCGGGATGCCTGGAATGAGTTACCAGCTAGGTGGTATATCCTCCCACCGATAGCCTGCCCTCAGAGCACCGTGATGGACAGGTAAGAGGCTTGCCTCAAACCGCCTGCTGGGAAACCTATTACTGTTGGAGTGGATGGATGGACATATAGGTGAACTAGCTTTTTTGTTGAGAATTTTCTTCTTCTTTAAAACTTACTGTACATAGCTCCAGGTCATATCACAACATCAGCTCATGTTTTATTGCTTTTAAGCCTGCATCCAAATTATTTCTATCATGCAAGGCTGGATTACCAACCAGGCAAAGCAGAGAGTCGCCCCAGAACCTCAGGAGGCCCAAACGCTATTGGTTCATTTTGTGACAATTAGTTTGTGGTCATTTGATTGATTGCAAATTTGTTAGGTAATTATGTGTGTGTAACAGAGTTAAAGATACACTGATGAGAGTCCAGATGTGCAGTGACCAACCTGGAGACAATATTTGTGTGTGATATGGTCTTCCTGCAGAGAGTGGAATAAATGGAGGAAAACTATCCTCTGAGTCTTTCTCATCTATGCCAAGCAAACATCCATCACATCTGCAATGCTTAAGAAAGTTCCTATACTGTTACCTAACCTTGAATCAAAATGTTATTACTTTTCTGAAAAGCATGTGTGCCTATATGTGATGTGACAAAGCATATGTACCCGTGTGTTAGTTTATCACATGTCAAATGTATTTCACTTATGATATTATATGTTAACATGTTGTTTTTCCATTTAAATTATCTGAAAATCACATGCAATTAGTGGTATATGATGATATTAATGGTAAGAGAAAACATACACAATGCATACAAAGTGGGAAAAAAGGTGGGTGAAATAGGGGACCAATGGTAATATTTGCCCCGGAGCCGTTAAGCCGGTTGATCCGGCCCTGTAAGTACCTATAAAAGGATAAATAACATATATAATGAAAGCATAGAGTCATTATATGCAAGGCAACTACACAACCCCCTTCTTTACAACACACTTATACTGTATGAACTTACTGAAGTTTTAAAAACTGCTCAGAGACTTCAAAAGAAATCTCCAACTCGCCACATGACAAAAGGTCTCCTGGTATATCAAAGTCAAATTAAAATATTTTACCTCTGGGACCCTTGCTGTGATTCTGGGGCAGGGGGGTCAAATGGACGTTGAGTGTTTAACTGGCACTCTGAGGTTTTGTGAAATATTCAGAAAGGCCAGCAGAAGATGGATGTCTCCTCATGCCCCCCTCTGGTGGCGTGGCAGGCAGGACGAAAGCGAGTGATAGAGAGGTTACAACTGGCAAGAATTTTAAACATCCAATGGC